TGGCGACTCTCCGATATCTTGGCAAAACATCGCCGCGTTCCTTCTCCTCTCTTTACTTTAAGCATTTACATTTGAGCAATTCAATTCTTGTCTTTACATTCTTAGAATTGCCATGCTAGAGTAGGATTGGAACTTAGGGTGCTAAACTTTTATGCAGTAGATCAGTAGAATCACTTTCTAGGCACAAGGGGTGAAGTGGGCTAAGTGTAGGGTTTATTTATTGTAAAGAATTTTAGAATTAGCCCAATTCACCATTCCCCTCTTGGGCATCTTGATCCTTTCAACCCTGTGGAGGGACCAATGCTGAAGTAGCACTACTAGCGCCCGGACATCTGGACAGACGTTTGCGGCTCCAGTCTGTTTTCGCGCCTTCGTTTTGTATGTCCACGCGAGAGCCCGCGCCACTTGAATGTCGCCCGCCAGTGCCATCGTTTTGCGCGCCCGCGTGGGGCCCACACCGCGCGCTCGCGCCCGTCACGCTTCCCACGCTCATCCCATGTCCAACACCCGATCTACTTTTGAAACATCCAGATGCAATACTTACAACATACAAAAGAATATAGATGACACACTTGAAACATGTATCTGAACACTTGCAAAAATACGTGAAAAAACACCTGAAAACCATTGCAACGCAACATCCAGATGAAACATTTGCAACATATGCAACATACATCTGAAAAACAGATGAAATATTGGGAATATACGCTTGCAACATATATGTACAAACCATTGCAACATATACAACATCCTGATTTACTTTTACAACATCCGTATGAAACACTTCTTGCAACATACCTCTGACACATCTGGAACATACATTTGCAACACGCGTTTTCAGCGTAACGGGGGGGGGCGTGGCAAACTGACGTGGTGCAGGCAGCCGTGACAGCAGATGGCGGCACCCGATGCGGTGGAGGAGGCCGCGACAGTCGGATGGAGGCACATCGCCACGGTGGAGTCGACTGCGGCAGGCCTACCTGGGCGCTGTGGCTCGGGGACGACGGTGAGGAAGGACATATGGCCGGCATGGCTGAAGAACTTGGCGACGAAGACGGTGGCGTGGCCCTACACCTCGGCGCCATCGATCCACTACAGTGGCGAGGCAAATCTATGCGGGCGAGGGCGCGCGGCGCGGGTGGGAGCGAGCGGCACGTGCAGAGTGCTTTGTTTGTGTGGATGGTTCGATGCGCCCGGATACGAACAGGGCGTCCGAACGCCCTAAACACAAAGCATTACCGATGCCGAAGACATTCCTGGCTCCATTCACACTAGTCGACACAATGTGTTGAGTGAAATCATGAACCACGGTATTCCTAAGAGATGGTTTGTAGGCAGCACAATATTTATAGATATGATTTATTATATTAACGATCTCTATTAAAAAAATAATAGAAATGATTGTACAAATTATTTGTGTGGTGGTAGTCTTTACATCTGCAAAAACATTGGTAGTGACATGCTGCACGCTTAATAGACATGCGAACTTGCGAAGGATACAATATAATAAACCAACAAGCGGCTCGCGTGCATCCATTAGTCTCATCGAAGGGCTACGCCCTTTCTGCTAGCTTGCAAACTGCAGTCCGAGGACTAGCTAGAGAGTCTTTTAAATAGCGGGGCTCACGATAGTTGCCCCTACAACACAGTTTTTATTAAATAGCGGACTATACTAGCGCTATAGCAGGATATAGCAGCGCTATAGCGGATGAACGTACCTCTCCGCTAAATGTTATAGACCGCGAGTCCGCGATTTAAAACATGCTAGAGCACATGTTGTCAAGTCAAACGTGACCCATGCCGCATGATGTATCACCATACCGCGCTGCCACGCAAGGCATCATATCTCGGCCCAGCTACAGCTAGCATGCATGCTCTGAGCGCTGTGAGGCTGTGCCACTGCTCGGTGGGGATCCATGAGCTGGGTGACGCTGACATCATCGGTAAATTTCTGTTTGGACGACGCGTCATCATCGTCCCATGGGGCCGCCACGCAGTACGTGCTGCTGGCTCGGTCGCCGGCCTGTGTGGCCTGTGGTCCGGTGCCATGGATCGGGAGGTCTATCGGCAGCCGATATGAATTTGTCCTGCTGATTTCAGCCTTCATCGTGTTGCTCTAGATCTATCTCGCGGAAGAACGGCGTAGGACCTCCACACAGTAGGCGTCGTCGGCGCCATGGAAGGCCGTGGTCCGGCCTTTGAAGCAAGTATATAGAGCCGTCGAGGATGAGTACAGGGACGGATCGGAGTCCATCTCACAATCAATTATGCAGTTGTGTACGTTTGCTCGTGACCTTGCGTTAGAGGCCGTCGATCGATCATGTCATGGAGGCTGCGGGCATGGCTCTATCGGGTGCCTCTCACAATCAGTCACAGCTCGCTGCTCGCACATATTCGTCCGGCCGTTAGCTGTAGATCGGTTGGCGCGGCTCAGTTTTGTTGAAAGCGAAAGTGCCAAATCCACTGAAAGAATAATACGTATACCGTACTATATATGCTGCAGGAGCTAGCTACATCGTATAGTCATGCGTCACTCAATCTTTGTCGCCGGTCCTTTTTGCATGTGCAGAGCGCTGAGCGCACGATGGAGGCGTGCTGTTAGAAATAGCAGCACCATCCAAGTGACGTGCAGGTCTCGTCCGGCATGCTTATGATCGCGGCGACGAGTAAATAATAAAGCAGTATACATGTTACATGTACATGGCATCATGCATGCATATATCATCGGCTCATGCATCGCACAGGCACAGCTAGCCTAGCGCTACAATTGGGATCAGAATCAGACGCCTCTCGATCGAGGTCGAGGGCCGAGGCTCGCTCGATGGCGCTCGACTCAACTGTTGCACGATAACTCAACCGTGTGGTGTTAGCAACTAAATAAGATCTACGTACTAACCGTGACCGTGAGAGAACGTGAGGACGCGTCGGCCCTTCATGGCTGTCGCTGGTAGCCAGGTAGATCCAACGAGAGGAACTGGGAGCCCATGCATAGCGTTCACGGGCAAGAAACAGTACCGGCTGTCCGGCTCCTTCAAAGTCACTGACACAGCGGACAAAAGGTCTCTGGCCCAGTTCCATGAACGGGACGCTCTGCGATTCGCTTTTTACACTACGTACCGGTAGTCTAGGATCCGTTTGGTTCGTTTTGCTCAAATTTGGCTTATACTGATGTTTATGCTGATTTGTTGTGAGAGAAAAAACATTGTTCGTTCGCTGAAAAGTACTGCTGAAGTAGTTCAAGCGAACTGAGAGATTTTAAGAATACAACATAAGGTGTTTAAGTGTATAAGCTGTTGAGTGTTGACATATTTGTTGGGTATTCCTAGGAATATTCAATTTCAGGAATATATAGCTGGCTCCGCCCATACACGTACGTTACGCAACTAACCATCCATGAAAGTGAAGAAATGGTTCCATCCTGCATGATCCGCTCCTCAACCAAATGCATGCATCCTAAAGGTAGCGCACAGTTAACAGTTTACGCCTTTTCTTTCGAATAGATTATATATATTTTGGTCTAACCAAACTATTCTTAGGGCCGGTGGTTAGAGATTTTATTTACTAGCCATAAACTAATCGATATAATAGATATAATAACAAATAACGATATTAATTCAATGTGCTCATGCAAATGTAGAACATCGAGCATAAAAGGTACTAAATAAAGAGCATCCAATAACCAAAAGACCGTATATGTCCTCCACAATTCCACACCACTTTGACTGTTGTCCTCAACTCTACATGAATGAAAAATGTCATAGCTCTTCACAAATCAAGATAACATTATGAATTGAAATGAACGAATACAATATGCACCATTCATTCCTCTCGCGGGGCCTCATGTGTGGTCCTTTTTGCTCAACCCAAGTCTGTTTAATTACAGTGGTACTATTCAACACATATTTTGCACTAAAATGTCCCATCACCCTAACCTCCTTGATATGAAATATTTCAAATTGCAATGCATTTATTATGAACTAGTACGCATGTAAAATACAATTATTGTAGCAAATGTTTTTTTAAAAGCAAAATTAAATCTCACTCCACCTCATACTTATGATGATAATTATTTGGATGTCAAATGTGATAGTTACAGTCGTATTATTGAGTAAATTGTGAATTAAATTTCTTTTTAGCTCATTTAATCATGTTTAACTCGATTATATTTGGACTGTTTAGACAACTTTTAACAGTTTAAATGGTTTAACCATATAATTCACCGTTTAGACCCTAAATGACATGAATGGCCTTTGCTTACTGTTTAAACGCTGTTTAAAAGGGATAAACCGCCGTTTAGATGAATAGTGCCTGAAACAAACAACATATATAGTTCTGAAGCTAACTTTTGAAAAGTTGAAAAGCTAGCTTTTGAGAAAATGAACTCAAAGCTGAAAAACACGTTCTGAAGAACTTTTCTAATTTTTCATGCGTTGAGAAGCTAAAAATTTACTGCAAGAGCCAATAAAAATGGCAACAGCCAGAGAGGAGCCAACTTTTTTGAGCTAAAAACTTAAAAACTACAGATCGAACAAATAGGCCCTTAGCCTATGGCTGTAATCATCAAGGTAAAAAAACCCCTTAAACGGCAGTCCATTGAGAGAAAATAAAATCTACGCAGAAAGCCAATTCTATGATACTGGTTGGCTGTCAGCCCACATCTAACTGCCTAACAAACCATAGAGCTCGGTCAGCTACATACAGGGAAAGAACAAGTCAATACTGTTACAAGCTAAACGGTCACTTAACACTGACCACACGGTGGCAGCTACCTATGCTACGCATCCAATGAATCACATAAAGGCAACGAAGAAAAGGCTATAAATGCACTCTCACAGTCGCGCTACCTTCAGAGAGACAGAGAGACTACAAAAGGTGACGCCAGATCGGAGCTTACAGCTGAGGGCGCTGGCAAAGCCTTCGTCGTCACCTCTACATTCCAGCCTACACAAAGCGAGTGAGCCGCTCAGTTCCCGTTCAGGAGGCAAAGTTTGCAAGCGGCGATGGATTCAGCGGCGGCGGGGACGACGGAGGGAGGTGGCACCGACGCGGTGACGACCACGGCAACGTGCGCATGCTGCGGCATGGACGAGGAGTGCACGCCGCGGTACGTCGCCCGGGTGGCCGCGCAGTTCGGCGGGGCGTGGGTGTGCGGCCTGTGCGCCGAGGCCATCAAGGACGAGGCCGTCCGGCGCGGCGTCGGGCTCGAGGCCGCCAGGCGCGCACACGCCGAGTTCGTCGTCAGCGCCGCCCGCGCGGGCGCCGGATCTGGCCCCGCCGTCCAGGTTGTCCGGGCCCTGCTCCAGCTGCTCAAGAAGGTGATAGCGGCCGCGCCGGCGGGCGCCGCCGCCGTTCTGCCGCCTGCCACGACGGCACCACACGAGATGCACGTTGGAAATAATCACGACTTGATTAGTTTTGAGTCTTGCATATAGGATAGAATGTGCCTATAGCTAGTCACGTCATGTGCTGACGTGTTTGCATTAGATTGTTGCATGCAGCTAGAAACGTGTTGTTAGCCAGATGTCTAGATTGTAGGACTTGCATCTGATGAGCAGCGGAATAGCAGCACTACTGCGCGTAGGATCGGAGTGGTGGAGCACGCTGTGGCGTGGTTCAAGGCCAGCCAGCTCGGAGGAGCGCTTCTTGTGGATAGCACCGATTTCGTGCGCTGAAGCCTTGGCCAAACCGCTCTTGTGCGCATGTAAGCAAAGGCTACAAAGGCCGTTACTCAGTGGGAGCTGCTATTTCTCATATGCCTGATTTTAAACTTTTTTTTTTCAGACGATAAATAGTAGCCATTAGATCTTAAATCCAACTATTCATAAAACCAGCACTATACATCTACTTTTTCTTCCTCTCGATCTTTCTATCAACCCTTGATTTCTCTAATATAGGAAACGTGTTACTCAGTGCAATTGGCGTGCTTTGAATATAGAGAAAATCGGTGTTTTTCGCCGAGGGCGTTTGTCGTCGCAATCTCGTGTGTGTCCGTGCCAAATTGATTTTCGCGTGCGCGTGTGTTCACCGGCTACTTCGCGTGTGTGTTCGAGTTCGCCGGTGATCATCGCGTGGGTGTATGTGTACCGATCATTCGTGAGAGCTCCATCACTGAAGAAGCCGTGTCTCAACACCAACGAGAAGATGACCAACGACGACGGCAGCTCGGGTGAGCGTCGCGTGGTCAAGGATAATTCGCTGGTATGGCCAATGCTATTGACGGTGATGGAGAATTCTCCTTGACCACTCGAATTCGTATTGACGAACCATTTTTTTATTTTTCCGTTTTTGATAAATGTGAAAAAGGGATGTCGTTTTTGTTTTCCCCATTTTTTTTTGCTAGTATATGCCATTTTAGTTAGTGCAAATATGCAACACAACAGATATGCCATATAGTCTTGCAATTTTATACTTTTGTTGTCCTATATGAACCTTACAATATAAACTAGAATTATCAATTATGTGAAGTCATGCTTTTTGGTTTTATGTGTCGACATTTCCATTGTCTTTCTGTATTCCGACCATTATTTATTGATACGTTTTTGTCTGAATTTATCTGTTTTCGATTTTCAATGAATCCCATTTTTCCCAATTTTGATTTTGTTTCTGTAATAAAATTTAAAAATGAAAATGATTTTTCTGATTTTGTTTTTGTTTCCGTAATAAAATGTAAAAGTGAAAAATGAAAGATAGTTTATTCCAGGATTTTATCCGCTGAAGCAGCCGGCAGCCCACACACGAAGTCACTCTCCCCGCGTGTAGGTGACAATGTGACATACGACCTGTGGCTGCTAATTTGCTAAAAGACGTTGGTCTCCGTGAACGACGGAGAAAACAGGGATATGAGATTAAATGCTAGCAGCGAAAACAGAATAGCAAAATACCATATAATAACTGATTCACTGACGAAGGAAATGGAATGGCCACACACAAACATTACATAATATATATTATTGGTGTCATAAGAGACAAGTCAAGTCAAGCCCACCAGGACCAACAACAGCTCTAGTGCCCCATCCAGAATTTTCCAACAAGAAACCCAGATCCAAATATATACTCCCTCCATGCTAAAAAATGAAGTCGTTTTGACAGCGACGCGGTCTCTAAAGCATAACTTTGACTACTTATTTTTATAAATATATTTATCAAAAAGTGATATATGTAAATTTTGTGAAAATATTTTTAAAGACAAATCTATATATATGGTTTTCATATTTCCGAACTCAACAACTTAAAAGTTATTCATGATTTATATTCTCAATATTTGACCCAAACCTTTTTCAAAAGGACTTCATTTTTTAGCATGAAGGGAGTAAACAAATACTTTAGACAAGCATACTACGAACCACATATGTGGCAGTTAGACGAATCCACGAGTCACGACAGATAAATGGCAACATCATAAGTTTTCCAGGTAGGTCGCTGCATTAGGGTGGATCGATGGAATATCCATGTCCCATGGTGGAAACATAGCCTGACAAAAGAGGAAAACAAGAGTGAATTTGAGATCAGTTTGAAAATGATATAATCACAGTAGCTCCAGAGAACGAACCTAATGGCCATGACCAACAAGTGAAAGAAGGAACGTCCGATAGTTTCCTGATGTCTCGGAGTTGATAGCCTCAGCTAATGGCTTCTTATACTTCTTGAAGTACTCTGCCTTGATATATTGCATGTCAATCTCAGTCCTCGTCACCACGACCCTTATAAGTGTCTTGTCATCGGTGCCTAGACCTTTCATGGCCTTTCGTAAGAGCTGTATTCACGTCATTATAAGAGAAAATTGGTCACGTTGCAAGTATCAAACTAGGAAAACAGAGGTCTTAAACTATTATCAGATTCTACAATGGTATGTTGCCAAAAAAAAAAAAAATCTACAATGGTAAACATAATTGGTTTAACAAAGATTACAAAATGCACAGAGATTTGTTAAAAAGTATTGAGTTGATTGAGGATGCTATCCTAACCTCTGCATAGAAAGTAAACTGCATACATAAAACATAGCGCCATGTGATCTCATGTTAATAGCATATTCTATCAGGCCAAATGAAAAAGGCAGCTAGGACAGTCTAGGAGGGGAGTCATGGGCACCGAAGATACAAGAGCAATCATGGGCACAGAAGATACAAGAGCGATCCACATGTTCATTTTGCAGCATTAGCAGAAAATACTACTTTGGAATGGTAGCAAGTTTACATATAATTAAAATAAGAAATAAAATATACAAAGATCAACTGTAGATGGTGCAGCAAATTTTATATCAGTGTCGTATCAACAAGTGATCTTTGCTTCACTAAATGTTAAATTAAAATTTCATAAGAAAGAAGAACAGCTGTTGGCTACGGCTAAATCTATCAGCAAAACATAACTTGACTTTAAATCAATCAGTGATTTTATATATCTATGGTGCCTGCACAGAGTTTTAAAAGCTACAATATTTCTTTACTGAAAACAGTATGGGTGCAGTACCTTAGCAAAATACTTTGCTGGGTTTTCCGCACATCTGAGGATAGTCAAAAGTGCAAATTCAAAGTTTCCAGATGTTTCGCTCTTGATAACCTATCATCATATATAAAGAACACTGAAAAATTCCAGAGAATAAAAAAAATGCTTATTCCAGAAGTGTACTCAACAGAAGTGTTACCTTCTCTAATTTCCGGTCATACATATGATGGTAAGCAGAAGAAACAGATGCCAAGTGTGCCCAACTGCGTTCAGTGAAAACACGGATAAAGGTCTTCTCATCCGTACCCAGCCTTTTCTCACCAGCTTTGTACAAATCCTTTGCATCATGTGTCACAATGGTAGGATCAACCTCAGGACCTTCATAGCGTGGAATCCCCACATAGGCAAGTAAAAGCTGAAATATACATTATATCGTTAATTACTTCTGGCAGAAAAAAAGTGCAATTTAAATTTGAACAGATATTAACTACTAACTTATAAAAAGTACTGATTGGCATACAGCACACGAAGTTCATGCTACAGATCTCTTTGTGCATTAGGTAAAAGCATAAATGACTACAGAAAAGCAATTGAAGCAAGTTCACATCAGTAATTGCAATATGTCAATGAAGAATGGCCATTCCATCAGTCTTATACAACACAGACATTAAATGTGAGAATATCTCAGACATTAGACTCACAATGGCAGATTATGCAGTCATTTAGCAGCAAATGGAAGTTGTTCCAAAGAAATTATAGCCAAATATTCACCTTCCTAATGCTGGTGAGTGTAATACTAAAAGTTGAATAAAATGAGTAATTTAAGTGTCTTTCATTTATCATCATGTATAAGGTGAAGTAGAACAAATGTAAGGCAAATATTCTAAGTACTAAGGATCAGGACCTTCTGGTGATCGCCAGATGTGTGGTGACCAATGTCATGCTCAAGATATGTACCGAATCTAGCATAATAAGTCTGTTTCATTATTTGCAACTGTGATGGTGTCCTGGAACATATAATCTCAGTGGCTGCTCTCAGATCCATAGTTTCACCGCTTAGAGCTTCTCTCAAAACAGTTGCATCACGTCCAGCAGGATCAAGAATCCACAGCGACATAGCTTTCTGGAGCCACATGAAACGAAGTTAACATATTTAACACACCGATTTTGATAAATTAAATGTAAACACATGATTGAAGCAACACATATTCACATTTTTTGCTAATTGATTCTAATCATCAGTTTTCATCGGTGAATATATGGTACAGTTGATGAAGCATATTGGTACAGCTAGATTAACGATTTGATTATTTAATAAAGAGAACAATTCTTCGAGAACTTTTCATGCCTTGTGGTTTCCACTGAGTTCAGATGAAATACGATGAAAGAGTTCCTCATGATACATAGCCCTGTATTCCTGTTGAATGAGTCCACGTTGCACTGAATCGCGATGAGTAAGTATGTTTATCACCACTGTACTGTCACAGCCAAACCCTGGACAACCATAAACCAAGGCACAATATAAAGAAAGTCAGCATGTTTAGTGACCACCTCCTGCAAATCAGTAATGAAAAAAAGCTTTGATATTTAAGTAAAAGCATCGAAGTATACACAACACTCAATTACTGGAATTCAGTTCCATGTCTAAGTTCGACTATTTATGCTCACTTGCAGACAGCAGCTGTCATCATTCAAGCACATCAAACCAAACTCGCTGAAACAACAATTTTCAATTTTGTTGAAAAAATAACAGATCAAAAATCCGGTTGTGATAAAAAGACAAAAGAAACACCTTGAATTAATAGTTACAGACCATCCCAAGTAACACATATCGAATTACAACATTTTAGTTATATAAAGTTACAGGTAATGGCCAGTAACAAATAAGTTCCTGGAAAGTCACATCTCTAAGCCATGGAAAGTCAGAAACACTAAATAGAAAGAGCAGATGGATTACATATGTCAGTAACAAATAAGTTTCTGGAAAGCTAGAAGCAGTTGGCCTGATTTTTGGCCTTTTGTTTCGGCAGTTGGTGCACAACACTCTTAAGATATTGTGAGGAAATTGGAATGTTTATGGGAAGGAAATGCATAACAGAATAGAAATGAACAAAACAATAAAATAATTAGCAAACACATCAACTTGCATACCAGCTAGCTACAAAATTCTTTAATCACAATTGGAGCATACAAAATGACACCATACTTTCCTTAAAAACAAATTTTTATATATGTGAATCTTATAGTTATTATGCATTTCTCTCAGCCACCTTAAAAACAAATTATTATATATGAGCCCTATAGTTATGCATTTCTCTCGGCACTGTACACTAATTTAATTATCTAGTAGACATGTGGAATATATTGCCAGAATTGTGCTACTTGACTCCAAGAAAAGACTATTCAAGGCTCGAACCCACACGTGACCCACTTACCCCAAATTGTAGTCAGATAAAACAAAAACTGTCTTAATCACCGGAATTGCCATCACTGCATCCAGATCAATCGCTACAAAATTTCTGACCTAGCAACACAGTCGATTTCCCACGAGGAAATATCCAATGGCCTATATAAGCCTCTAATAACAAGAACCCTCCTCGACCACCTCCCCATCTGCCATCTGAACCGAGTCCGGCCAGCCCCCCTGGAATAGGGAATTCTAGCTTCCTCCAGCTCCTGGACACATCCCCGAACTCGCATGCGCGGAAAGTCAAGGTAACCGCCAGGCAACAGAATAGCAACGATGGTTTCGGCCCCCATAGCCATAGCATAAATCTCGTGTTCATTCAGCCACAATATCTGACCGAAAACGAAAATCGAACAACAACGCCGCGCGGCGGACCCGACGAATTGTGGGGCAGACGGAAATTTGGGCGAGAACCCGAGGGGGGGAAGTAGTGGCGTGGCGGACCTTTGAAGGCCTTGTGGAGGTCGATGGCGTCCTGCCGTGGGTTGGGGGGCGCCGGCGGCAGGGTGAGGCTCGCCATCGCCGGCAATCGGTGTGCGCTGCCCGCGATGGATTCGATACGATTCGATTTGGTCGGCTAGTGGAGGGAGATTAGCGAAATGGGGGTTACGTTGCAATTTGGTGCGCGCTTTGCGTTTAAAAGCATGAGGAGGACGGAGGTAGCCAGGAGCAGGTAGCGTGGACCGCGTCTAGCCGTCCGGGTCGTTTACGTGGCCGCTTCAACGGACGGCACGGCACGGACCTGACTGGGTTGCCATTTGCCAACTAGAGAGAGGCCATGCGTTGCCGTTTTCCACTCCTTCATTTCGGTTATTGTTAAGCACTTGGAGGTGTACGTCTGCAGCTCCGTCGACATCGCGTCATCGCTTTCGGCATGGACAGTAGCTCTGATGACCCAGTACCCAGAAACCCTGTACATGCAAGGCTACCTAGGGCGTGATTGTTTTACATGAATTTGGTCTGGCCTGGTCAGATGCACTTCCCTTTTGCATCGCCAGGGAGGCAGGGACAGGTCCAAGTGAAGAACCAGCTAGGGCACATTGATGCACAGTGCTGTACAGTACCTAGATGCAAGAGACAGAGCCCTTGGGAGCCGAAATAAACAGGCCCGTTTCGATTTTGATGGATCGTGGAAGCTGTTAACTTCCATAATCTATTAAGTACACACCTATAACTTTTATCAAGCTTACACAATCTAGAGAACCTCAGATTCCATAATATAGAAAGCTAGGAAAATGAGATTCTTCGAGCTTCCAGATGTCGAAAGACAATTATTGTAACGACCCGAGTTCGTTACAACATAGACAATTATTTTTGACCATCCGAGTAAGCAGTCACCCAAGCCCTCGAATAGATTCCTAGTGCCTTGAGTTGGACCAACCATCAAGAACCTACCAAAAGGAACCCGTAACTATCTTCCGATAGCCATGGTCAGGCTCATACCCAGAGTGACGGAGAGAAACCTGAATGGATTAAGAGATATCCTATCGACATCATCAACACCAACTCAACCTCAGAGAACACCTCAAGATAGGACAACTCATGATCTACAATACCCAGCCAACCAATGATAGAATCAATTGGGCAAAGACAGCGATATACTGGATAGTCCGTCCGTTCTACCGGCTCGTCCGATAGATCTCAGATCAACTGCAGTAAGTGGGAAATGAGTTATTTGCCACTTAAGGGAGTGGGACCCACATGTCAGCACGAGTTGGGGCACTTCATCGGTAGAAGTTGCACCCTCTCACCCACCCATTCATTTGCCACTCTCCCTCTCTCTCTCTCTACACCCCAAGAACAAGGATGAACCTTAGAACTAGAGAGAGAAAGGATTGGAAGGGAGATTGGAGAAGGAGAAGAGAAGGGAAGGAAGCATCAGCACCACTTCATGCACACCATCAACATCTTCAATCTTGTTCTTGGTGAGCTCAAGAGAAGTAGCTCTCATTTCTCGGATTTTCCTCCCAAGAGTAATTTGTGATTTTTGGTGAAGGATTGAAGGATTCCTTGCTGATGGTGATTCCATCGTATGTAAGTAAGTTCAAGAAATCTTCATTTAGCTCAAGCACTCAAGTGCCTCATGGATTAATCTTTGATTCATCTTTTGGTGCCTTGCAAGAAGAAGCCCATGAGTGATCAATCTCTTGGATGAAGAAGTAGTGATGAGGAAAGCTTGGATCTTCAACTTTTGGCTACAGAAGCTCTCAATCTCAAAGCTAAGGATTCTATCTCAATCTCATGGCTTTATCTTCATGGTGAGCTACGGAAGGGAGCATTCACATCTTGCTTACACTTCAACATCTGACACACCATCCATTCCAACAAGTTGATCGGATCACCGGTCATCACAGCATTGATGATCTCAAAGAAGGGCCAACCAATAGCATTATCGTCACCTCTAGCAGAAGGAACCACCATGCGCCTTAGAATCTCGAAGGTTATCTTCGAAAGCCTACTCAAGCCTCCCTGTGGACCATAGACCGATGTCTCCTGGTAGCGAAATCTAGACACCTCCTCTGTTCTTAGCACCGAAAGGTCTGAAAGCATCTAGGCCCCTAGTTGTGTTTTGGTGATTAATGACAATACAAGATTACTATGACTAACGTGTGTTTTGCAGAGGTAATTAAGTTAGGTCATGGTAATGGAGATCGATTGGGCAATCATGGTGGTCATGCCCCTACGATAGAAATCGTTTCGATTTTCAAAGGATGGACGACAAGGTTAAGGATGGACTAGTTCTAAGTGTCGATTGAAGTTGGAGAGACACTTAGAGTAGTTTAGGACTTTGTTTTTCCTTTGGCCGTACTATTAAGGGGGGTATGGACGGGTAGCTTGACCTAGGTGAGTCTAGTGAGTTAGGTGTGGTGCACATTTGTTCAAACTAGCACTAGGTAGCTCCAAAATAGCCCTTAGATCCAATGAAGCAAACTTCATTCACATATGATCGAGAGTTGGAAGTGAATGGAGGGTCAAATACTGACCGGACGCTGGCTCCGGTGTGACCGGACGCTGGCTCAGGGTCCGGTCAGTTCATTTGACCAAGGTGAAAACGTTCGGTGCGACCAGACGTTGAGAGGTCAAGTGACCGGACGCTGAGAGGCATCATCCGGTCGACTCCAGTAAGGTTCCAGAGAGGGAAAATCACGACCAGACGTGTCCGATCAGTGCTGATCGGACGCTGCCCAGCGTCCGGTCACACTGTAAACACTAGAGTTCGGGGTGTACTGATCGGAGCGTCCGGTCAACATGACCGGAGCATCCGATCACCCCGTAGAGGCACATAACGGTTCGTTTTTCAGCCTATGTTATAAATACTCCCTCCACTTATGTGTGGGGGTACTTTTACTCATTCCAACAGCTGAGAAACACGTTTGAGAGTGCCAAGAAGAGCAAGGTCCTATTGAGGTGATTGAGATTTGAGAATCCCAAAGAGAGCCCTCATTAGTGAGATCAAGAGTAGCAAAGTGTGCATCCACCCATCTCATTAGGCTTGTCCTGGTCAAGTGAGAGTTCGTGCTTGTTACTCTTGGTGATCGCCATCACCTAGACGGCTTGGTGGTGATTGGGAGCTTGGTGATCATCCGGAGAGCTTGTGGATGACCCAACTCACATTATGAGCGGTTGTGGGTGATTCACCGCAATGGAGTGTCGAAGAATCAACCCGTAGAGAGCACTTGATCCTTGCGCGGATCAAGGGGGAGCTACACCCTTGCGTGGGTGCTCCAACGAGGACTAGTGGGGAGTGGCGACTCTCCGATACCTCAGCAAAACATCGTCGTGTTTCCTCTCCTCTCTATTTACTTTGAGCATTTATTTTGAGCAATTCAATTCTTGTTCTTACTTTCATAGAATTGCCATGCTAGAGTAGGATTGGAACTTAGGTTGCAAGTCTTTTGTGCATTAGTTCAATAGAAATACTTTCTAGACACAAGGGGTTAATTGGGCTAACCGTAAGACTAAATTATTGCAAAGAAATTTAGAATTAGCCCAATTCATCCCCCCTCTTAGGCATCTTGATCCTTTCAATTGGTATCAAAGCCTCGTGCTCACATATTTAGGCTTAACCGCCTAGTGAAAGATGTCTCACGGGGATAGACCTCCTCCTATCTTTGAGGGGGACGATTTCCATATTGGAAAATTCGCATGGAGGCGTATCTAGAAGCTCTAGATGTTGGAATTCTTAGAGCCGCCTCACAAGGTTTCCCAAAACCTCGGGATGGCGCACACCCACAAGGCGATGAGTTGAACTATGAAAAATGGAATGTAAATGCTAGAAACACCATATTTAGAGGCCTTTATAAAGATGTGTTCAACCGGGTGAGGAACCACAAAGATGCCCATGCACTATGGTTGGACGTTTGTACGCTCCATGAGGGAACAAAGAGTGAGCGTGAGGAACGCTATCATCTTATCATGAAAAAGCTCAACTCTTTTGAAATGCTTCCTAAAGAATGTGCTGATGAGATGTATTCACGTTTGAATGTTCTTACAGAGGAAGTTAATGGGCTTGGACTCACTCAAATGCAACCATCCGATGTTGTAAGAAAGATCTTGAGTGTCCTCCCCATTGACAAATATGGGCATATTGTGACCGTGCTACATCAAGGTGATCTTTCTACCGCTACACCGACACAAATCTTGGAAAAAATCAATGCTCATAAGATGTACATGCATATCACACCTCAAGATGGCTCATCCTCTACAAAGAAGAAAGAAAAAGATTTAGCATTCAAAGCTAGCCAAGAGAAGGGCAAAGTAAGACTTGAGTATGAGAGCTCAAGTGATGATGAAGTTGATGATGAAAGCCTTGCTCTCATGTTGAAGAAAACCGTCAAGATGCTAAAGAAGCTCAACAAGAGTGGCATCAAGTTCGATGGCAAGAAGAAGAAGTTCTTCACAAGCTCAAAAAGAAAGCTAATCTCCGAGATGGATTGCTACAATTGTAGCGAACTTGGTCATCTAGCTCACCAATGCACAAAGCTCAAGAAAGACAAGTTGAAGAACAAGAATAAAGGCAAGAAAGATGACTCAAGCAATGAAGATGAAGATGAAAAGAAAAAGAACAAGCCATATAAGAAGAGAGATGGCAAGAAGAAGGACTTCCATAAGAAGAAGAAGAGTGGAAAGACTTACATCGTCGGTGATTGGCTCACGGACATTGATTCATCTAGTGGATCATCCGATGATGATAGTGACGACGAGAAGGTGGTCGTTATTGTTATTGATTCTTCATCATCTTCACCTCCACCACCGCCATCATCCTCTACACACCTATGCCTTATGGACAAAGGTGAACGAAAGGTATCACATGATGATGATAGTAGTGGTGATGATCATGCTCATAATGATGATAGTGATAGTGATAGCGATGATGATGAATATGAATCACCCACTTATGATGATCTTGCTAAATTGCTAAAGAAATACACTAAGATCATTATAAAGACTAGAGCTAAAAATGAAAAGCTTGAGATTAAGAATGATTCTCTCTTAGCTAAATGTGACATAGCCGAAAAA